AAATATAAACCCTTCCCCTCGTACAGGACCACAAGATTTATTAGTAACACATTACGATTGCGAAGAAAATGAACAAAAAACACTACATAAATATGCAATCAATCAGGTATCACAATGTGAAACAGAACCACAAGCTATAGAAACCACAGATATAATAGCAACACTCTATTCAAAAGCCCGAGCAACAACAGTTACAGGTTATAAATTCACAGCAACATTTTCCGAAAAGAAAGTACATTGTTCACAAGTCTCGAACGGAAACAAAAACCGACTTGACCATGAATCATTCTACCAAAGTAATATAGAACGTCTTTTACATCTCAATCCCGACGATTGTAAAAATGAATTACTTAGACTAAACATCACAAAAAATAAAAACTCCCAAAGAAAATTAGTTAATTTTCAAGTTTTTTCAGACTCTGTACATCAATCACAACTTGAAAGACACCAAGGACATATAAGACTAGACGAAAAATACCCGTATAACGGCGCACACGGACGATTAACCTATGACCTACATGATAAACACTGGATACCACACATTGGTATAAATAACCCATCAAACTGCAAAGCAGACACAAAAAATAAAGGATACCAAGAAATAATGTTTTTCGATTGGAAAATACAACTCGAAAAAATACAACTCACACGAGATTTATCTGATAATACAATGATCTATCAAGGAATCCGACTACCTTGTAAAAATGATCAAGGATATTGCGACCCTACAACGAGAACACAAGCAACAATTGTTTGGTTCCCCGAAGACACATGTACAACATTTCAAGTAGCAAAAATACACGCTCGTATGATAAAATTTCACGAAAAATATTTCATACAATCAATTCCATATGAACAAGTCCATCCATCACGCAAACTAAGTTCCGATTTTCGAAACATAGACAATATAGAAAATAAATTGACACGTTTTCAAATATATCAAGAAACAGAACTTGCATGTAAATACAGGAATCCACTTCACAGAACACAATACTCTGAAATATTAGTTGAATATGAAAAAGGATTCGACATGACCACTGGTAAAGTAAAAATCGACCCATACGCCACAGGTCATCCTCTAAACGAAGGAACATCCTATATACCAGTTAATTTTCAAAAAAGCAACGGACAACCTGGTGGACATCTAAAACCTTATGACACCAGAAGCACACGCTTACAAGAATTATCACTAATGAATACTACATATTTTGGTAATATCCACTATGATATTCATTTGGATATGAAACTAGACTATACAATTAGCCGCATTTTTCAAGAAATGTCACTCTCTGAATTAGAAACACTACATCAACTATGCGAATTAGAACGAACACAAATACTACAATCACTTGCACTAGCAGTATTAAAAATACCCTACGCAGGATACTTATTATCAGGAAATAGATCAAATTTTTTAGACTACGAAGGAAACATCTTATGGTTTTATACTTGTACTAAAAAAGTATCACCACTATACGTTTTTGAAGATAAACGATGTTATAAAAGAATTCCTATCTTTTATAAGAATAAAGTACATTTCGTGGATACACTTTCACGAAGAACATATTTCTGGGATACCGCAGTCCCATGTGGATCAGAAAATAGCCACAATGTAGTACAACTAAACCCTGATGAAAACAAATATTATCTTCTCACTCCATATCCCACATTAATGCAATCACTCAAAAAATTTTCACCAGAAAGCATTCGCGCTATTGCTCGAAACCCAAATATAGACTTACAATCAATAGGAATCTATTCAAAATCAGATATTCAACATCACATTAGAACACAACAATTCCAAGAATTATTAACACAAATGGACACTATACAAAGACAATCAATAGACCAAAACTTACGCAAACTTGCAGAAACCGCAGGATTTGCCGATATCTACACGCAAGACTATAGCGGATATTTTAAAGACATAAAAGATTATATATATCTAAACGGCGAAAAATACCGTCCCCAAGATATATCACCAATTAACATTTTTAGCTTTGTTACACTCAAAAATGAGATCCTAGATTTTCTAGGATGGCCCTACTACATCTTAGAAAAATTGACTATTTTATACGCAATGTTTAACTTTATTGGATTTCTTTTCTCACTCTTAAAAGGAATCTACAATACATGTGCTATACACACACAAGTAAACAGACAAGCAAGCGTAGCACGCATACTCTTTGCAGGATTTTTTGGAATTTTTTCCACATCTATAAACAAAATTCTTTTAGACGCACAAATAAAAGAATATAACACAAAAATAACAACACGACAAAATACATACGACGAAGAACATAACAATGTCGACACACAGCCAACGGCACCACAATTACCACCCCTACCAAATAACCATCCACTATCCCTAGCCCCGCGAAATTTTAGAAATTTAGCAATCACACATAATCCAAATTTTCGACTCACCACATCACAAAGTCCCGTCCAACATATAATGACACATCCACCACAAGATGATAATACTTATGAACAAATTATTGAACAGCCCCATACCACCGCTTTTCAATCTCAAAATAATAATTTTTTTAGCCCACGATGAGCCGCCAACTTGGATCACTCCATCGATCAAATTCCCATCCAACCAACCTTACCTCTTCAATCCCAATAATACCACTTTTTGCTTTTCCGCCACCCGATTTTCCATCTAGCAATGTAACATCAGGCATGAATTCCGACACTAACTCACAAATTTCAGTTTTATACTCCATTTCACAGCTAAATAACCCGAATATTGAAACCCCCGACGAATTTGCCGACTCAGAACCATCTCCATCCAATAATTTTCATAACCCTTCTCATTTTTCTCAACCTCCTTTTCAACCCATATTATCAAATAACCCTGACCCAATCACTCCTACACCCTCTTATGCTTCCCAAGTTACCCCAACCTACTCCTCATACCATTC